ATATAAGTTGGTATGGTATGTTTTCATTTTCATTTATCTCCAGATATTTTTTGATTTCTCCTTTAATTTCTTCAGTAATCCATTGGTTGTCCAATAGCATGTTGTTTAGTCTCCACATCTTTGTCCTTTTCTCAGATTTTTCCTTGTAATTAATTTCTAGCTTTATAGTGTTGTGATTGGAAAAGATGCTTGTTATTATTTCAATTTTCTTAAGTTTATTGTGGCTTGCCTTGTTCCCCAGCATATAGCCTGTTTCTGAGAATGTTCCACGTGCACTTGAGAAGAATGTGTATTGTGCTGTTTTTGGATGCAGTATTCTATATATGTCTATTAAGACCATCTGGTCTAGCTTTTCATCTAATTCCACTGTTTCCTTGTTGATTTTCTGCCTGGATGATCTATCCATTGATGTGAGTGGAGTGTTGAGCTCCCCTACTATTATTGTGCTATTATTAATGTCTTCTTTTAGGTTTGTTAACAGTTGCTTTATGTACTTTGGTGCTCCTATCTTGGGTGCATAGATATTTATAAGTGTTATTTCTTCTTGATGGAATGTCCCCTTGATCATTATATACTGCCCCTCTTTGTCTCTCTTTACCTGTCTTATCTTGAAGTCTACTTTTTCTAAGTATTGCAACACCTGCTTTCTTTTGTTTGCCATTAGCTTGGAACATCATCTTCCATCCCTTCACTCTGAGCCTGCGTTTGTCATTGGAGTGGAGATATGTTTCTTAAAGGCAGCATATTGTTGGGTCTTGTTCTTTAATCCATCTCCCATTCTGTGTCTTTTTATTGGAGAATTCAATCCATTTACATTTAGGGTGATTATTAATATATGAGGGATTAAAGCTGACATTTTATCACTCATTTTCTGGTTCTCCTGCATTTCCTTTGTTTCTCGTCCTGTGTATTTTGGTCTACCAATTGAGTTACGTAGTTTTTTATGTTGTGTTTCTTTGTTTTCTCCTTATTTATTATTTGTGTCTCTGTATTGCTTTTTTGCTTAGTGGTTACCCTGAGGTTTGTATTCAAGATCTAGTGGATAAGACAGTCCCTTTTCTGATGGCCTCTAATTTCCTTAGACTAAACTGATTCAGTCCCTCTCCTCTTCCCCTCCTAAGTTGTTTTTCTCACATCTTATTTCTCACATCTCACATCTTGTGTTATGAGTTTGTGGTTAAAATGACAAGATTATCTTTATTTTTGGTGTTTTCCTTCTCTATGTCTTTAACGCTGGATTCTTGAGTATTTGCTATCCTGCTCTGAGTCTGTCAACCTATTTAACTCCTTACTCTGTGCTTTGTAACCCTTTTCTAGCCCCCTCCCCCTTATTTTTTTTCAGGTATGAGGGCCTTCTTGACGATTTGTGTGTGGGGGGGGTGGGGCATGTCTTGTAGCTCTGAACTCCCTTAGCTTATGTTTGTCTGGGAAAGTTTTTATTTCTCCATCATATCTGAAGGATATTTTCACTGGATATTCTTGGCTGAAAGTTTTTGTCCTTCAGTGACTTGAATATGTCATTCCAGTCTCTCCTAGCCTGTAAGGTTTCTGCAGAGAAATCTGCTGAAAGCCTGATGGGGGTTCCTTTGTAGGTTATTTTCTTCTGCCTTGCTGCCCTTAGAATTCTTTCTTTGTCATTCAGTTTTGTCAGTTTCACTACTCTATGCCTTGCAGTAGGTCTTTTCACAGTGACATATTTAAGAGATCTGGCAGCCTCTTCCACATGGATTTCCTTCCCTAGGTTTGGGACGTTCTCTGCTATCATTTCTTTGAATAAGCTTTCTACTCCATTCTCCTTCTCTTCTCCTTCTGGAATACCTATAATTCTTATTTTGCATTTTCTAATTGAGTTGGATATTTCTCAGAGACTTTCTTCATTTCTTTTTAGGCTTGGTTCTCTCTCCTCCTCTATCTGGAACATTTCAACATCTCTGTCTTCGATTATGCTGATACACTCCTGTATGGCGTCTGCTCAAGTGTTCAGGGAATCCATATTTCATTTTATTTCTTCAATTGTGTCTTTCATCTCTAATATTTCTGATTGATTCTTCTTTATAGTTTCAATCTCTTGTGAATTAGCTCCTGAACTTGTTGAATTGTTTCTCTACATTCTCTTTTAACTTGTTGAGTTTTTGATGATAGCTGTTTTGAATTCTTTGTATTTAGATTACACGTTTCTGTGTCCTCAGGACTAATTTCTGGGTACTTGTTTTCTCTCTGGTCTGGAGACTTGATATAATGTTTGATATTGCTTGAGAGAGTTGGTCTGTTCTTTCACTTCCTGGTGTTATTTAGTTGCAGTTATCACCTATCGCCACTGGGTAGGGGTCAAGAGCCAAGTATTCTGAGCCCTCTGCTTTCAGCTGAAATCCCAGGGGCTGGAGCCATGCTGAGTGGGTGGGGGGAAGGGCACTTTCTCCTATGTGCTTTTGGGTTTTCTCCCTCTGCTCTCCTGGGGTGTTGGCTTGATAAGGTCACCCCCTGAGAAAGCTTTTGCCCTGGTAGAGGGCTTCCCTCTAGGCTGCAAGGGCCCTTGGGAGTCCTTGATGTTCCCATGAACAAATGTCCCCTCCATGTTCCTTCCCTCTGGGAGGCCTCCTGCAGTCCTGATCACAGTCTTTAGGGGGAAGGAGCGAAGATTTCTCTTACCCCGTTCCACCTCCTCCAAGCAGGGCTCCAGTCTCTCCGGCCTCCGTGGTATGGCTGCATGGGTCTCTCCAATGTTTTTTGTGTTGTGTTTGGATGTCCTCTGTTGGATTATGGATGTTTCCTTTGTTGTATATTGGAGGGGAAAGATTTCTGAGAGACCTCATTCCACCATGATGCTTACATCACTCCCCAAATGGAAGTCTTTCAAAAATGCATTTTGGAATTTTATAGAAATCTTTTAAAGATTATTTTGGTCCCTTTCTCTTCATGTCCTTTCCTTAGAAAACATTATCTTTTTAGGAAAGTAAAAGGTTAATCAGATACAATAAGCATCTTACAGGAAAAAGAATAGCAATATTAATGAGTTGTCATTTACTGAAATCTTTTTATGCCTGATCCTCTAAGGCATGGGTTAATAAACACTACAATTTTCTTTTGTCCATTTTATCTGTCACTTATTGAATTGAATATTGAAATATGTGAACTATTTCATCAATAGAATACAGATAATGATGAGCTGATATCTGAAAGGGCAAGATGACAATAATGGTGCATATCAGTTTTATGCACCATTTTTTACTTTTATGGAGTTGAAGAGTAAAGGAACTATTAGTTTTGTTTAAATTTTCTGATCTGATTGTTGACAATTTGAGGTGACAGTTCAATTTTCACTAAGTAATGATTACTTAAAACCTGTTTTCCCCACTTCACCACATAGAGGCATAAGAATTATTGTCATTGTGGTTACAATAAAATCATTTCTTATGACAGCAAAGCAGAAAATGTATGATTTTAAGTTTCAAGAGCACTTATCTTGGCAGATGTGTTATAGACAAATGACAAACCAAAATACAATTTATTAAATATGATTTAAACTTTTTTTTATTTACCTACATATTTTCCTTAGGAGCTTTCAAAACTAAACTTATGAGACAAATACCTCTACTCTCTGAAAATGATACCTATCCAAACATATTAGACTTGGTCCATCACGACTGACTTCAGAATCATCTAGAGTAGCTTGTTTAAAATAAGGATTCCTGGTCCCACCTCAAAGTTACCACAACAGCTAAGATTTATTTCATTGCAAGTAACAAAAACAAAAAACAAAACATACACACACAAACTTTCTCTCAAAAGAAACAGGAGTTAATAAATCAAAGGGGTTGAGTCGCTTGTCAATGTCATTAAACAGCTGGTTCCTTTTTTTCTTCCTCTCTGCTTTCCACGGCGTCAGCTTCACTCTGAAGGGAGGTATCCCTAGCTCCCTGGGAACTTGCTTCCTCTACCATATCTTGGAAGAGAGAGGACGTTGTTCCTACAAGTTTCTATGTAAGGAAGCATCCTCCTCTAAAAGTTCCCAGAAAACACTGCTTCACTTCTTGTTAACTTGCGTTGGGTCATGTACTGATTCTGGAGCTGAATACCGTGATCCAGAGATGGGACTGTGTTTGATTAACTCTGAGCCATGTCTCCCATACTCCCCAACCAGAGGCGGAAGCATGGTCTCCTAAAGCACCCTGGGTGGGGGTGGGGGGGATATATTTACCAAATGAAGGGGAAATTGATGTTGGGAAGACACCACAATGCCCGCTATTCTCCTGAGGCTCTACAGTCAGACAAGTTGTACACTCATGTTCCAGAGAGTACCATCCTCACAGAATACAACATGAAGGCCTACCCAACCTACATCCCCATACAACCTGACAGCCCTAATCTCTGGCTGAAGCCTGAAAGTCTGCATTTTAATAAACTACCAACAGAGTCTGCTGCACAGAAATGTTTGAGGACCATTGTACTAAATTGCAAACTTCTTGGGGATAGTTTCATAATTCTTGTATCTTAAGCACCCAGTCCAATATTTTGCCTACTATAAAGTAAGTGATCAATGATGTTGGTTAATTCGTGATGGAATTATTGATTTTATCAACCAGATAAAGGTGGTCAGGAAGGCCTTATAAAATTGAAATTTGCAGTGGTACACTGTCTACAGTGGGAGAGAGCTGAGGGCACTGACGTTCATCCTGCCTTCTCTGAGCTTACAGACTAGTGTCTCATCAGCAGCAATGGACAAATAATCTAACAATATAACAGGGCCATAATGCAGAGTCCAGATTTGTCCTTAGGAATGGGCTTCCAAAAGAGGTTTGTAATCAGCATAATTATAAAAGCAGATGAGTACCAAGGTAGTCATGGAGCTTCCTGATTTCACCATGAGCTTCTTTACCAAGGTATTAATACTTCTCTATTGATAGCAGTTTTTTCAATAATTAGATGTTTTAGTGCCATTTACCATTCTGCCACTAAGCAAAGCGCCTGCACAGTGAAAAGAAGGGTCAGAGATAAGGAACAATGGTCCACAATCATCAGAATGCATTAGCACAGACCCTGAAGCCAGGAACTCCTTGACATTCTGGAAGGTGTCCTCGTGTTGGCAATCCTCATATCACAGGATATATTTATCCTGTGGCTGATGATGTAACTCAGCACTTCAGCTTCCTGTGAAGAAAAATATGATAGAGATAGAGTCACCCCAGGAAGGTTTACAGTACCTCCTTTGTCTTTGGAGGAGATTTACCATGTGAGTGCATCCTATTAGTGCTAATGCCTCTACCTAAATAGTGGTACCGGGAATGCCAATTTCATAATTGCCTGCCTTTTAAAAATAAACTATAATACCTGATGTCTTTAAATAACACAGGATTTACTAAAATCTTTCCAGAATGTCCCATGTTGCTCTTCTGATCCAAATGTGATTGTAACATCTGCAGAGCCCCCAAAAACAGTCTTTGTGAAGCATTTGACATTCATCTATTCAATATTTGTTAAGCCTGTGGGCAGGAGGTTGCAAAAGGCTGGGGATCCTCTGTATCTGTCCTCAAAAACCTCTAGGGGCAATAGAAATTCTTAGCCAAAGATGCTTAACCTGGATTGCCACCTTAATAAAGGGTGATTAGTCCAGTAGCTCTAGTAGAAAACGTTCTGTTAGGACATTGGGCAACAGGGAGGTGCTGGGTGGGCCTTCAGTAGCAGTCCTTTATTGTGACCAAATTCATGAGTTTACAACATCCTAGATGGTATACAATTATAGGATCTCAAAATGAATAAAATGCACATCTATTCCTGCCATAAACATTTTTTGAGTAGCACTTCTGTGCTTTGTGGGAAGTAAAGAGATGAATCTGCACAGTTTACTAGACATGATTCCAGAATTTCCCCATCTATAAAATGGGGATGAGTTCCTACCCTACAGCAATATCAAAAGTAGGTTCTTGAGAAGAATACATGAACCAATCCTCGGAAAACACTCATCACAGTCTCTTGTACCCAGTAAGTGTTCATTAAGTCAGATTTATTAAAATGCATCATTGTTCACAAAGCACTTTTGTACGTTTTCTCATTTTGCTTCACAACACCCATGCAAGGGTAAGGAAACTAACTCAAAGACAGAGGGATTTTACCAAGGCCACAGAATTAGTTAAAAATTGGAAGAGCCAGAACTAAAAACCAGTTTTCATAGTGCCTAATTTCACTGTGTTTAATACTTTAAGTTGAAATACAGAGGCTTATTTTCTAACTCCAAAGAAGAAAGTTCATGCTTTCACAACGGTTATTGCAATTCCTGATATTAATTATAGAATTAGATTGAGACATTCTACTCAATTAGGGTTATGCCTATACAACTGAAAGAACAAGTTAAACCAGTAGAAATTCAACCATTTTACTAGTTTTGGGATCAATCAAGACAAAAATATTATGGGGTGCATGTGTGTGTGCATGTGTGTGTGCACTGAGTATAACAGGAATGTGTTTAGCTGCAAATGATAGAAAAAACAATTAATGTGGATTTAAACAAGATAGTGATTTATTTGTCTCACAAAACAAGAAATCCAAAATATAAGCAGTCAAAGCTGGTCTATCAGTTCCACGATTTCAAGAATCTTCCAGATTCTTTCTTTCTACTACATTGTCTTGAGTGTTTGACATTCAATTTCACGCCTGCAGCCTCATGGTAACAAGATGGTAGTACCATATCCACATGTCATATCCTCATTCCAGGCAGGACAAAGGTAGCAAAACCTTTCCCTAAAACACTCATCTTACACCTCATTGGCCAGAATTATGTCACATGGCTACCTCTAGCTGCAAGGAAGGCCAGAAAACAAAACACTTTTTATTGGGCATAGTACTAGCCCAAATTAAATCAGGGTTCTGTTAGCAAGACAAAAGGGAAGAATGAATAGCCATGTCTGCCATTCTGACTTGTTTCATTGTCTTCAGCAACACTAGAACACAGAGAGTTTCTTTTAACCTAGACTCACGAAAATTTGAAATAGGTGCATCATGCACAGGACGCTTCTGTTGTCCCACTTATTGTTTTATTGTTGTTTTTGTCTTTTGTGAGTAGAAAACAAAGGTAAAACTGAGGTTAAGATTTAGAAGAAGTACCTATCTATCTATCTATCTATTCCTTTGGAAATATCTAGAGGGCATCTTGAAAACACAACAGATAGCCACATTTCAAGTGCTCAACAGCCACATGTGCCTAGTGTCTAGCATACAAGACAGTACAGATACAGAACATTTCCACCATTGCAAAAAGTTGTAATGGACAGCACTGCTCTGGAAGCCCAAGGTTTTTAAGAAGCAATATCAGAAGCAAATCACCTGAATGAGAGCAGCCCGTCACTCAGAATGTTTTTGAAATTCCTCTTTGGAAATTGTTTTCAGAGCCCCTTACAAGCCACATTAAGAAAACGTCTTGTTTCATCCATTCTGAGCTTATCGAGTGCTTCCTCAGCAGTACGCTCCAGATAGTGTGCTACACATGGGAACTCAACAACTAAGTCGACACGGTCCTTCCCTTCTGTGCCATGACCTGTTGGAGGAACAAATAGCTAAAATGTAACGTAACAGGTGTTTAAATGTAAGGATGTGCAATATGTTCTGCATGCAAAACGAAACAAATGATCCTAATTAGAACATTAAGAAAACGCCTTCTTTGGTAAAAAATTCAGGTGAATGCCATGCTAGGGTTTCAGAGTTTTGCTTTGAAAGACCATTGAAGTATTTCTAAACAGAGGCCTGACAAGAAGTTATGTATTCTGAAAAGGTCATTCTAGTAGCAATTAGAGCAGGTAAACCATTGATGGCAAGAACAGTTGGCAAGCTACAGAAATAACCTGGGTTAGAGATGTTGAGGGCCTTTAGGTCAATGGCCATGGGAACCCAGACAGAGAACAGATTCAAGAGAGATCTGATTCAAAATACAAAGCGTGATGATTATCCATTCTATTCTTCAGTCTTGGCTCTACATAACAGTGTGCAATTAAAAGAAAATTCATCCTCTAAAGATAGACTTACCACACCACTGGGGATATTCTAAAGAACGAGTTGTACAGATTCAAAACAGTATTTCAGTACGTTCTGTTTTAATAAAAACAAAGTAAAAACAAAGTAAGAAATATCATATATGTGTGTGGATAGATAGATAGATGAGAGATAGATCGATCGATCCATCGATCAATCCACAGAGATGGGAGATTTTATAAAGACACAGACCAAGGTCTTAGTCATTGTCTGAAGTTGGGTAGGATCCAGGGGTTATTTTCTTCATTTTGGTAATCTGTATTTTCTACCTTTTTCTGTAATGACAACGTATTGTTTATGTAATGAAGAAAAGTTATTTTTTAAATAGTAATTTTTAAAAGCCCCAGTCATTCAACCTAAGGAAGAGTTGTAACAACATTTTCAACAATGTCAAATGGCTAAAATAAGTTTATTTCCCCAAGTTTACTACTTTAGAATAACACTCAGTTGAAATGGAAAAAGATGTTTTCTTTAAAAAATCAAGTTTGTTATTTCACGGCTGTACCTTCTATAATCAAGGTATTAATTATAAACCACTTTTAAATGACCTGTCAGAATTTACTTTGCTGTTGTTCAGTAGATTAGTATTACTGTGTGTAATTACGATAGAATGTTATCTATAATTTAGACCTTTCATTACTTTGTAATTTGGTCCTTCCTTTTCTTCCATGGAAATAACCAGTTCTCTAACCTCCTCACTCTCCAAACTCCTATTCCCCATAGGTATACTTAATGAGCTCAGGTTTTCCTTCTGGGCTTAGGAAGGGGAAATGTTTCTCCTGCCTCACTCCCCATTTTTCCAAAGCTATGAGTGTATACTTGGATGCCATCACTGTTGCACTTCTCCATGACACTTGGCATAGCCAAAAAGCATCTTCTCTGCCCCCTTGTACAGAATAGTCAGAGCTCTCTGTATGTCCTGCTCTACAACCACCTCTCTCCTACCTGGGCCCCTAGAAGCATGTCGGTGGCACTCTCTCAAGCCCATGAGTTCCCCTCGAGCCATCACTGTGCAGCTTTCCGGTAGCCCCCTTCCCACCCTCCAACCCCCATCCTAGAGTGCATGCGCAAGAAGGAGGGATGGGACATCCAGAGTAATATATTTAATAGGAAGTAAGCGAAAATATCAACGAATAACTTATCATTTTTGGTATGTACTTCACAGGTGAATTAATCAGTGGGCTTGTTTAGAAATAGATTATCCATTGTGGTGCAGTAGCAGAAATTAAAATTTCTGACTTGCCTTGTTTTGCCAATATTTAAGCATTTTGTTCTATTGAATGTGACTGCATGTACAGACACTGTTTTATTTTGTCTCTCACACGAAAAGAGAAAGCATAAGGCATGTAACTCAAGTGGTTTCTCATCCAAGCATTTTTATTGCAAATTACTAATTCTAGCTGAAAACAATAGGAAAGAGGATACTTTTTCCCCCTAGTATTTGTTCTATCCACCTACCTTAGCAGCATAGAATATCTTGTAGTTAAAATAAAAGCTTCCGTTTTTGGAATAACATCTGAGTTGTTGCTTTATCAAAAGATCGGCATGCTGACCTGCTAAAGTTAGGAAATACTTGTATGTTCCTCTCCGTAGGATAAGTATTTCAGAGGTTTAAGAAGGAAAGAAAATCCTGAAAAAGAATTCAAGAAAAATAGAAAGGAGGAGAATGCTTCAGAGTAACCTGTGTATACATCATTTCCCTCCAAGGCTAATTATCACTGAAATACTTTTTGCTGACTATATGGCACTTACTCCATACCTTTTGCTAATTAACATTTAAATAGGTGATGAGAGCAACTATATTAAAACCAGAAAGACTTTCTATAAACGAAAGTCAGAATTTATAATTTAGAAGGTAATCTTGAATACCAATTATTATATTCATTACATTGCTTCAGATCCGCTTGTTACAAATTCTGGGTTTGAAAAACAGGCAGCCTCATCTCGCAATGCACTGTAACTAGTACTTACTTATGCTAATAACTGTTAATTAGGTAAAGCAATAGATAACCCAAACATCATCTGGGTTTGTTTCATATTTTTGGTTCTCATATTTGGATCTCGATCTGAAAATTCACTCAACCTCGAGTAAAACAACAAAGCCACAACTTAAAAATCTGAAGACTTGGATGTCGAGAAACTCCCTATTTTTAATATTAAGGTCATACAGCGCATTCTGACTCTCCCTTCTCTTAGATCAGCAGGTGTCTCCGCAGCTCCAAGAGACTGAGAAAGGAAAAAGAGGGGGCGATAAGAAAGGAAAGGAAATTGTCTAGGTGGCGTGGGGGTTGGGGTTGTTTTAATATCACGATTAAAAGCTTTCCGCCTCAGTTTTAAAGTTCTTACCCATTACGGATTATGCAGCAGAATTTGGGTCTGTCCATCTGTAATTTATAAAAGGAAAGGAACAAGGAAGGAATAGGAGGCAGCAAAGGGATGCAGAGAGAGAGAGAGAGATGTAGGCGCGTGGGGACGGGAAGGGAGAGGCGGATTTGGCAGAGAAAGGGGGGACAAGAGGAACAGGAATGGAAAGTGTGGCCTGGCCGTCCGGCCCTGCGGTGGGAAGGGGGGGCCACGACGTCTCACTGCCCCTCACCCCCAGGCTTTTTCTTTGTAGGGGGGGGCTACTAGGGATCTAGAAAGGGTCGGTCCACTAAGAAAGGCAGGGCTGTCTCCCGAGGATGCGCGGGCTCGCCACCGCTGTCCTGGGGGGAGCAGGGACGGCAGGGACAAGCAGCAGCCCCGCGGCAGACGGCTTTGTGGGCCCTGGGGAGGGAAAGGCCCCCAGCCCGGATCCGGCGGGTCCAGGCGCCCCAAGCCAGGGCGCCCGCCCTGCCCTCCAGGCGCCACCCGGGCACTCTCCATCTCCTCCCGACCCTTGGCAGCCCTCGCCTTGATCCCCCGAGTCCAGACCCTACAGTACGGCCGGGGCGCGGGGACCCTCTCCTCGCCCTCTCGGGCGACAGTCTGTAAACAACATGGCGGCCTGGTGTCGGCCGCGGCGCCTCCTCTCCGGGACCTCGGGGTTGGCGAGGGTGGCAGCAGCCGTCGCCGCAGACCCGCCGCCCGAGAGCCCGGCGCGGGGCGGGGCGGGGCGGGGTGGGGGCGGCGGGCGCGCGCGGGGGCGGTGGCAGGGCGGGGCATCCGGGCGCGCGCTGGGCCGCGGCGCGGGCGGGGGCGGCGGCGGCGGCGGGGGCGGAGCGGCGGCGGCGGTGGCGGCGGCGGTTGGAAGCGGCTGCCCAGAGCCCTCTCGCGGCCGCGGCGGCAGCAGCGCCAGCCCCAGCCGCAGCCCGGCCGCCGCCGCCGCCGCCGCCGCCGCCGCCTCGCGCTCCCGCCGCCCGGCCCGACATGAGCGAGGAGGGTCGGGTGCCCTCGCCCGCCGCGCTGCCGGCAGAGGCCACGGCCGCGCCTGAGGAGAAGAAAGGGAAGGAACTGGAGCGCGACAAGCTGCCGCCCATCGTGTCGGCGGGCGCCAGCGCGAGCGCGGTAGGTGGCGGCCGGGGGTCGCTGGGCGCCCCGACGGCGGGCGTCGGCAGGGCGGGCGAGGGGCGCCCGGAGGCCGCCCGGGGAGATGCGCCCGCCCGGGCCTCGCTTCCTCGGGCCGAGATCAGAGTTGTGGCTCGTGGGCAGCCGCGGCCACTTCGCGAGCTGCACCTTCCCCCCTCGGGAGATGGTGGGGTGGCCGGGTCCGCTGGCTGTGTTCGGTGATTTTCTGCTTTGAAGGGGCCCCTGCTTTGCCGAAGGAAATTTCTAGCATCTTGGAACGGGCATTATCTGTTGGATGAGGCTAAGGTGTCAGGCAGGCGCGAGTGGGTTTCCGCGGAGCTGCCCGCCTGCCTGGGGCGCCGAGATGTCCCCGTTCTCTTCGCGTTTCTTTCCCTTCCCGGTTCGGGTGGAACAGGCTCCGCGGCGAGTTTCTACTCGATCATGACCTTTCGGCGCTGTCAGGGTGGTGGGAGGTAGATGCCTCGGTGATGGTTTGCTTTTTCTTATGGTACAGGCATGTGACGTAAGGTGGAGAGGCTTTTTTAACCTTTTATTCAAACTCAAGTTCTCTAAGCTTGACAGGAATGGTTTCCCAGCTGGGTTTTCTTAAGGATTATTTGGAGAGCGCTCAGGCTTCAAACTACACGTTGCCAGATGATGTAATGGGACACCCCCCCCCCTCCTTATTTTTACTGGTGGTTATGACTTTGGTTACTTTGGAGCACCAAAAAAAATATTTTTCTGATTTTTGAGATTTTTATTTGACATACTATTGAAATACTTTTTGAAAGTTCGCTTTGGTACGTTTAAAGACCATGACTTGTCAGGCAGCTGTGCGTGACAAAATAGTAAAAGTTTAGAGAACATGATACATTTTCTTAATTCCTGCTTGCAATTCATTACTTAAAACCTCCCTCTTAAATGACTAAGAACTTACTAAAATAGCTCGCTCATCTTCAAAGTATGAGTATTAGGAATAATGTTTCGATTCGGTAGGTCTTTCAAAAATGTCTAAGGACTGTGATAACTGGAAATTGTTAGAATAAGCTCTTTAGATTAAATCAGGGCAGCAAAGTGTGGACAGTAATAAAATGACACACATTTTTAAATATGGCTATGATTGATTGGTGAAATGGAGTTTGAAGTTAGCAATTTCTTTGGGAAACGCTTTGAAGGAATTTGTCTCCCAACTGCTTGCAGACCCGCTTCCTGTTGTTCGTACCCTAGGTTTTTAGAGCTTTTCTAGGAAGTTCTTAACTTGCAAATAGGTAGCGTTTCAACAGCTCTTGTCTAAGTCAGTGTTTAAAACAGTGAATGCATTACTTGTAGAAACGGTTACATGAATGGGGTCAGGTCCTCTAGTGAACACCCTCCCCAAAACATATTTATCTCAGTGTAACTGAAAACTTGAAGATTTGGAATAAAAATTTGTAGAAATTGTTACAGTGTGGACACACATCTAAAGACTGTTATCTGAAACCCTTGGGGCTTTGGAATTCAGAGTTTTTCAGATTTTAGAAAGCTAATTTGGTATACTTATATATATATATAATACCAACAGTGGGGTCCTGGCTATTTTCCCATAATCAAGCCTGTTAATAGCTCTGCAGTGAAATGTGTGTATGTTCACTCAAAATGAGGTGAAGTCAAACCATAAGTAGCTTCATATCAGTTCAGACCAGGTTGGATCGTCAGAGTTCAAGTCAGGTACCTGTTTTGTCGCCGAATAAGTTGCAAAAACCTTTCAATTTTAAGAGCTTACAGGGTTTTGGAATTGTGAATTAAGGATTATGCACTTCTGCTACTAGTCAAACAGAAGAATAGAGTTCAAGAAATTTTTTAAATCTTGAATTAAACCTTCAAAGGCATAGGTTAAATTAGAAGAGGATGAGGATGAATAGAAAGACGTAAGATTCTGAAGGCAATTTCTGGTTCCTTACAGAGTCTTTTAGGATTGATAGCGTTGTTTTTATTTTAATGACAGTTTTTTAAAAAAAATGACGTTCAGAATTTATGGCTCTTTGAATTCACTGAGGTTTGTCTTTAGCACTGTTTTGGGTCAGGACAGGAGGGAAAAGGACTTTTTCTCAGGTTTTGCAGTAAGAGAAGAGTAAGGGGAAGATGAGGAACTTATTGGTGGGGTGTGTGTGTGTGTGTGTGTGTGTGTGCGTGTTTGTGTGTGTGTGTGTTTGTCAGAGAGAATTTCCAGAGCTGAAATTCCCACCTATGGCAATAAAAAGCTTAAGTCAAGAAAATGTGTGCTTGGGCCTCCAGAGGGCAAGAATGCCAGGAGAGCTGGGATGATGACTGAGTTTACCAGTGGGTGGGGAAGGCCTTCGTGTGGGAGGCAGGGAATGACAGCTTGTGGCCTGTTTGGTGGATTAAATAGAACTTCTGGAGGTTTGCTTAGGAACCTAATTGCCATCAGCAACTTTTTTCTTTGCGCCTTTGTAGTGATTCTTCCTTTTTGCCCCAGGTTAGTAGCTCTGTCTATGTCGATTGAGTTTATGGCTCAATTCGTGTAGCCCTACAGTACTAGCTTTTTCCAAGAATCATTCTATCATGTTTTTATAACAGTATGGAAATAATTTACAGTGACAGCTCCCTAAAATAAGTAGAAGGCCAGATTAGGATGACCTTAACTAAACTTGAAGACTTGGGACTATATCCCAGAAGTTTAAAGAGGTGCAGGGGTGGGACAGAGGGTGCTGGAAAGTGCAGCCCTGGAGTGATTGATCCTAAGACCAGCTAAGTGTGCAGGAAGTCCATTCTAGTCTGGAAGTCCTAACACAATGGTCTCAAACATGACTGACCACAGAGTTACCTTGGTAGCGTGTTAAAGTCCTGAGTCCAAGATTTCACCCTAGAGCTCCAGTTGTCAGCCTTTGACACGCAGTAGAATCAACTGGTGGACTTTTAAAGCCTTCATTGTCCAGGCCCAAATGCAGGCCAGTTAAATTAATTTCTGGGGATGGGGCTCAGGCATCTTTTTAAAAAATTTCCAAGTGTAGCTAAGATTGAAAATTAATGCTTTGTGTACTGAATCAGAAGCTCCATGGAATCTGTATTTTAACTACACTGCCCCAAGTCTCCTTGGTTTATGGAGCACCATTTGAAATGGACTGGTGAAGGGTATGGATAGTGAATGAGGCACAGCAGAAATGGGGTGGGGAAGTGGAGAGAAATGGCAGTCAAAGTGGTTCTAGGTAGAGATGCTCATGAGGCTCAAGATAGAGCCCTCAGAGGACTATCGTTGTTGGGTGGGGGACGGGGGAGGTTGGCCTTGCTGCTGTGGAGAGGTGATGCAAGACCACAGAATTGAGGAGAATAAAGAATTTGAAGTAGTGTATGGGTATGAAGGGCTGATGATGTCAATATTGCATTTACTGAAGTTGATGGATTGGAGTGGAGGAGGATATTGTAAATTAGTTGCTGATGTAATAGGGAAGTTAGAAAAAATTGGTGAATGGGGAAGGAGAAAATGGTCAAGGAGGGGCAAAAATAACCATGGCAAGTGAGGGTGAGTTTGACTGTCTACTTAATATTTAAGTCAGATGAACAGGAAAAAAAGAGGTTCTCCACGGGAAAGGGTGGCAAGGAATGAAGTGGTTTTGAGAAAGAGCTAGATTTTACTTAAGTCAGGGAAGTGAAGGAAATCAATTTAGGATTTTAAAGGGAAGTTTGCCCACAGTGAAGGCCCGAAGACTTGTCCAGTAGGTGGAAGGTCAGGGGAAGAGTTTGAGGGAGAGCATAAGGTATGTGGAGAGGATTTGATAGGAAATCAGTACTAACAAGAATAAGTTTGTATGCGTTGTGTCAGGTATGTATAAATGGGCTTGTTGGAGCTGCTGGGCTAAAATATAACTACTAATTATTGAATATCTATTATGTTTAGTTTTGCACTAGATACTACAGAAAACACAAAGACAAGGTTAAAAAAAAGGTCCCTGCCTCGGTAGGCAGGGCTAACACGTGAAAATAGAACAAAGCAAAGCATTATGTAAAAGGCACAGTGAGCCATAGAAACAGTTTACACTATAGGAGATCAGAGAAAGGAAATCAGTGTGTGCAGAACTGTGAAGAAAGGCCTTGAAGTAAGCCTTGAAGTAAAGGTAATTATTTAAGCTGGCTGGCCATTGAAGGATGATAGGATTTGGATGGGCAAAAGAAAGCGGGAAAGTAATCCAGTGGGGAAAACAACATGAACAGGCTTAAAGGAGAGAATTAGAGAGTAATAGGGCGAGCCCAATGGAAACCTGCTGGGAACTTGTGGGAGGTGATTGCATGAGGGCTGGAGCCACATCACTAGGCAGAGAAGCATGGACATTTTTGTCTGTGGTTAGTGGGAAGCCATTGGAGTTTCTTAAATAGAGGAGCGACATAATGAAGTCAGTGGTAGTGATTAGAGGTAGTTAGACTGGAGGAGGGAGGAGGAGGAGCAGGGCGAAGGAAGAAGCTTTGTAGTTCTTACCTGTGATGATGGCGCATCCACTAGGGTGGCGGCCATGCGGTAACTTGTAAGGGATGGAAGGGTCCACACTATGTGGAAACTAAGTAGATAACAGAAATGAAAGAGGAGGAAGATTAGTAAAGAAAGAGGATT